TTACCTTACTTTACTGTTAAATTGTCTGGAGAGATTTTTCGAAAGATGAATAATTAAGCTTATTTCTTTGTCTCTTGTTTTCCAATTCCCTTAGATTCTATTCAGGTGCTATAATTATGCTGTATCCATGGCAACGTGCATTATCTACATCTATAGGTGAAATCACTGTGAGCTGCTGATGATTAATTTTTTTCTTAATCTGTCTTCAATCTGTAGACAATGAATGATAGGGAAGTTCAAAGCCCCCAGCGTCAGTACAGATTCACCCTTAGTCAGGATGGCATGCTAATGCTCACAACTAACTTAAATTTTTTTCAGTCTGACAGAAAACTATATATCTATTATCTACAACACAGTTTTATTCCAGCGAGCTTCTCTGTTATAATGAGTAAGCTGGACTGTGTTTTCCCACTGAAATGGTTGATAATGCTTGAGACAAGATACAAGTGAGAGTTAAGTTTAAGTAGTGAATTTTGCAAAGCCCCTCAACAGATTGATTTCAAAGTATCAACACAATTAACCAAAGTCTTAAGGTGCGTGTCTTGCAGATTCAAGTCAAAGTCCTCATTTTAAGCACTTTGTTGCCTATAGCGCTACACCGTTGATGACTAACTATAGCAGCAAAGTTCAAGTACAGTTCTCCTGTTTCTTAGCAATGATACCATGGATTGAGCTATACAACTTTCCCTTGATCATAGTCTCTTTCTTTCCACAAGTGATCAATAATAACAAGCAATAATGATATCTGGAAGTCTTCTGAAACTCAGAAGTAGTGCCAATTGCACATAGAAAATGATCAATAAGTGATATGATCACTACATGACAGATTTTGGAGAAGACAGATCTAACTGTGTCCCAGAATTCCTGTATCAGGCTGCAATGTCAGGATACTGATGCCATTCACATTTGGGGTATATTGGAGCTTAAATGACATACTGACAGATTATGAATATTTCATTCTAGACAATCTCATGTTTCCGTGGGATATTTGGTGCTTAATATTTGGAGCAAAGCTTTCAAGTTATTTGCATATGTTGACATATATGAAATCACATTTTTTTTCTCATTCTTCTCCCAAAATGATGGGAAAAATAAAAGAATGCATATAAAGAGGACGTGAGGATCCTAGAGTCTAAATTCTATTTGCAAAAATAAGGATTAATAGATCCAAGGAGATGAAGGCATTAGTGGGAATAAGAAATTAGGATATAAACACAAAGCAGACAAGTTATGAAATAACATAAAATCATGGGCTTTAGAGACAGATCCAGTCTTGACCCTAACACTGAATAAGTCCTTAACTCCCTTTTACCCTTAACCCCACGATCCTTGCTTTTGAATGTGAGACTAGAATAATATGATAGTTTTTTTTAATTTATGAAGGACAAAGAGAACATGAAAAGATTTAGCCCCAAGCAAGACATATGCTAATTGCTCAATGAGTCATAAAAACATCATCCATTCAGTATAGTAGATAGAGACACATATCAATAGAGGAGAAACATCTCCCAAAAGGAGAAATTAAGAAGTTGTATTTTAGAAGGAGAAATTGAATTCTATTTTAATTTAAGAAATGCAGGGCTGGAGAGAAGGATCAACAGTTAAAAGCACTGGCTGCTCTTCCAGAGGACCTGTGTTCAATTCCCAGCCCCCACGTGGCGGCTCAAAACTAACCCAAACCTTCACAAAGACGTACATGGAGGCAAAATACCAATGGATATGAAATTTAAAACTCATAAAAATATTGTTCTTTTTTTAAAAAAAGAAATGTATAAGCAAAAGAAGCAAAGATACCACTAATGTATGGCAGACCTAGTAGCTAGGAGGCAGGGTCTCTGGCCAGAACCAGTGTCAAAGATGATAGAGCTATTAAAACGTATATAGGCTTGAGGAGAAAATAGAGACTAGCAAATGAGACCTTTGAGTAAAATGCTGTTTGTTTGCTGTGTTCGATGGTATAATGAAGCCAGCTTTGCGAGCTTGGAGAGAACTAATGTGTTGGATTCAACTGCTGTGACAGCAAGGGATAACCCTCTGTTTATAGCTCACGGCTATAGAAAGCTGACAGGAAAACCATTCTCCTTCTACTCTGTCTTCGACTGTTCTCCCTATGATCGCAGGCTAACAGAAATCTGACAGCAAAGGACACCTGTGGCCTGCAGCGCAGCCGCATCCTGAAGGCTGGGAACTGAGTGGGTGAAGAATTTAGAACACAGAGATGATGGCTTACAAAGTGTGATACTTCAAAGCGAAGAGAAAGCACCGTGAGAGAGGTTACATCATGGCGGAAGGAAGCTCCCTCCCTGTCTGGCAAGCTGAGGTCCATATCCTAGAGGAGGTAGACTGTGCCCCTCTCTGGGCCTTAAATAGCAGGTTAAGAATTGTCTTAAAAGAGTTTTCTGCTTCCTCCTCCTCTGTTGCCCTTTCCCTTCATCTGTTGCAACAATCACGGAGAAGCGGAGGATTGAAAACTGTACCGCTGTATCCAAGGCTTCTACGAACCTGTCATGTAGTCAGCTAACATGTTCTCTCAAGGAATCTCCACGAGATTAACCACTGCACCACAGCTGTTCTTTCCCACGTCGATCTGTGGTTTGCCTCTGAAGACTTGAGCTTAGAAGCTTCTGCAAACACTGGATATTTGAGTGGAAAAGCAATGAACATCAATCACACAGTCTTGAGGATACTGGGTGGGACTCGCAAATACCGCAACTTGCAAGGACCCAGGATACACAAGTACCAGTCCCTGCCTACAGCCTCCTACTGCAGTCTGTAGAGAGTTCTCACTTCACGTTACTAAATTGAGGAGATATCAACAAACAGAATGTGTCAAATGCTAGCCGAAAAGGAAAAATGTCTTCTAACTTATAGATAGAAGTAAAACATCACTGTAGCCCATCTTACTCTAGGAAGACTCCACTAGAGGAAATACTTTGCAAGAACTCCATTAGAATGTAAACAAGTAAAAGGGAAAAATTTGGGGTTCGGTATGAAATGTCTTGAGTTTTCCACTGTAAAACCAGAAAACCAGAGCTAAGTGGCAACTCATTTATTTTTCTTTTCTTTCATGTTCGTACATGTGTGGTGTGAATGTAGGCATGTATATGTGTGGGGCTAAGTGTATGTTTACATGTGGAGACCTGGGGTTGATTTACAGAGGGATTCTCGCTCTCCACCTGACTCACTGAGTAAAGAGTCTCTCAGTTGAATCTAGAAGTTCCTTGTATGGGTCCCATGGCTAGCCAACTTGCTGTAGGGATCCTCTATCTCCAAAATTTCTAGAATTATGAGTGAGCCATGGTACCCCCTCATAAGTCATATGGGTTCTGGGGATCCATTCCCCAACTTGCAAAGCAAGTTCACTAACTACTGAGCCACCTCCCCAGCCTCAAATCATCTATTTTTCAAGAAAGAAGTTACGTAAGGGTCGTTTGTTCTTCAGAATTCTTCCCTTTAAAGGTGCCTCTCCTATTTAAGAAGTGTATGAATTCCCTTGAATTGTTTCTGTTTTATTTTTTGTAGAAGAGATGATACCAAGCATTGCTCTTTACAAATGAAATAGAGTTAATCAAAAGACAACAGTCCCAAATACCTCTGCTTTGAATGAGAAGTCACCCATGGCCTTCTGTTGAAGAATGGCAGAAATACAGTCACTAATAGCAAGAAGAGAGCAAGAAGAGAATGTGCTCACTTACCAGAATAATCATATTAAAATACAGTACCCAAGGCAGCTTGAGTAAGACAAAGTCAGTTTCTTAATGCCTGGAGACTAGAATTCCTATATCAAGAGTGTTTGTTTCTTCAGTGTCTTCCTTCGTTACTCACCAAAGCAGAACATTCTTACATGGCCTTTCTCCTGTGGTACCTGTCACTCATTCCTCTCCTTTCCTTATAGGGACATAGATCGTAAGTGTCCACTGAAACTCTGCCCTCTTTCTTTAGAGACCCCTCTCCTATTATAATAGCATCCTGAGACATGTGTTCCAGGTGACACATTTCATCCTATAACATGTAGTAATAAATACAGATATATGAACAAGATAAAACTTTAGTAGCATTTCAGTACTTCAGTGCCCAAGTGTAAGTGTGACAGCTTTCTCTCCTGTGTTATCACTCTTCACCTGAGAAGGAAAGGAAGGTTTAGAATCGGAAAGCACAAATATAGCATAAAACAAGATAACAAAAACATAAAAAAAAATAACTATCACTTTGAATATAAAGAGCACAATTGCTTCACCTGAATGGGGTGATGCTCCATAGGTATCTTTTGAACAGATTGTAGCATGCACTAATGAGTTCTTTTTTGCTGCCTATCAAAAAAAAATATATTCTTCTTTACCAATTAGCTACCACCAGGATAAGCACTCCAGTCTCCATAGTGACAGCCATGGTCGGTCCTTCAACGGAACCAATAGCTTAAACTAAACAAAACCAATTGAATACAAGAGTATTAAATATAGTCTCCAAATGAAGCAGCCATGTTCATAATTCACGGTTCTCAAAATAGAGCACGCCTTTGTTCGGAAGCAAATCCCTTTTCAAGTGACATCACGTTAGTGTGAGAAATTATAGAAGAGTTGTTTCCTGGTTGAGGTTCTTTAAAACAGGAGAGTTCTTTTTTCTTCATAACCCAAAATTTTTCTTTTTTTTTAACGATTTTAATAAATATATTAATGATAAAGCATCACAATGTAAAGTTATTACAGGGAAACAACACGGGAAGCCAGCTTATCTGTATGGAAAATAACGTCAATAACATGATACTGAACATTATAACAGCAGACAAAGAGATAATGAATACCTGGTTCTGTCTCTGTTAAAGCCATAAGATTTTGTAACTTGGTTGGGAATTAGATGGAGTCACCATGCCTTTCCTTTTTGTTTTGAACATCTTGGGGAATCTGAAGGATACTGCGTTAGGTTTTTATTCTGTAATGAAGCTTTGTTGTTGCCAAGCCTGATGTCAGTCTTGGGTCCAAGTGGTGCTGCCTTAGCTGGGCTCAGGTTCGGTGGCTCTGGCTTTGTGGACCTGGACTGCTGTCCTCTTCTCTTCCTCTTCTTGAACTGTGTATCTCATGACTCTTCGTTGCCTGTTTGTGAGATTTCTTCCACCTGTGAGGACTCTTCCTCTCGGACTCCCTGTTTCTCTTGGAGGAGTGGTATGAACCAGAGTGGTAGCTTCTTGACTTGCTGTAGTATTCCTCATGGTGGTCCTTCCTTTCCCTCCTGTCTGAGTTTTTACCAGAGGAGCCAGTCCAGGCTGGAGACATGAAGATGTCTCTGTTAGCTTCTCTAAATTCGTTGTTGGGATTTTTGAACACATGAAGAAAGTTGCAGTGCTTTCCTTTTGGACACTTTTGCATTTCGAGTAAACCGCAAATTGCAACCTTCTACCAGGTCACAGGACAGAATTCACACTGGAGCTGTCGTCCTGCATACCATTTTCCATTAAAGAGAGAGAGGGCTGCTTGACATTCTTCTTCCGACTGGTACTGAACATACACATTGCCCCGCAGATGAGGTTCCAGGTTGCAGCTTACTTTGAACTGAATCACCTTTCCCACGTTCTTGAACTCGGGCAGCACGTCATGGTAGAACTCCAAGAACTGCTGGTAGGTCTCCTCCTCACTGTACTCCAGGTTTGCGTCAGAGTCATAGGCATCCCTTCTGCACTGCTCCATTCCAAAAGTTGTAAACATACTCTTCACAAGAAGGGTTGGACTTGACGTGGGAAAGTCATGTTTCCGTGAACACCTGTTACCAAATCTGCACGCTCCCGTTTTATTGTAGAAGGGACAACTGGGTCGATATTTCTCCAGCCTTAAATCCTTGGGTGGTTCTGGGTTCTGCGAAGTGCGTTCATTTTCAGCCTGGTCCAGCATTTTCTGCACCGCTTCCTCTCTCTCTTTCTTCTCCTGTAACTTCTGCTCCTCCTCCTCTCTCTGTTTTTTCTGTTGTTTTTCCCATTCGGCCTTTATTTGTCTCTCCTGTTCTTCCCTCTGTTTTCTAGCAGCCTCTTCCTTTTTCTTCTTTATTCTGAATTCTTCTTGTGCCTTCTCCTCCCTCAGCAGCCACTCCTCATGTAATCTTTGGCGCTCTATCTCCAGCAATCTCTCTGCAAGTTCGTCATTAGCAGAAACATTGTCATCCTCCTCCACTGGTGGAGCTTCCAGAGCTCTCAACCGAGCCATTTCCTGCCGACGACGTTTCTTGCGTTTCTCCTTCTTCATTGTGGCCTTGTATTGTTTTCAGCTCAGTTTCTCAGGAAACGCTGGCTGCCGTGATGCCATTTTACCGCAGAGCGTGGGTCCCTTCCGGGATCTCGTGACCACCTCTCTTTCTCACGCGGTGGATGGATTGAAAATGTCGCCCACTGCTAAGTTGTTCTGCTGTTTAATGTTCGTTGCCTTCCTGCACAGCGACTACAGGGTTACACCATCCTGCCCAGCTGACTTTCCTTTTCACCAGCCTAGAAAGCTGAACCAGCTGAGACACGGGCGTCTTTGCACAGTCAATTTTTCTTTTCTATCTTTTTCTTGTATAATAAAAACAGCACTTGTGAAAGTGTAGCTTTATAATGTCTCAGTAAGTTATTTAATTCTTATAATTATTTAATTCTCTTTTATAGGAAAGAATTCACAAATATTATGTTTATAGCATTTTTTTGTTTATGACTCTAATGGATACCCATGATTCTTAATCCTCATTAAGTTTAAAAAAATAAAAAATAAAAAGTTTAATTAAATAAATCCAAAGACATATGCTTGGTGTTTAGCCCCTGGAACTTCTGTCAAGAGGGAGAAACATTGAGAGGGTGGAGTCTAGAAGGATATATTTCAGTCTTCCAGGATGCGCCCTGAAGGGAAACGAGGACAGTAGTCATTCCTCCCTCTTCACATGTCTGTCTCATCCTATGTATCAAGTGAACAGCCTCTGGAAGTCCTTACACTTCCTACTTGATGTTCTGTGTAGAGGGGACAAGCCACAGAGCCACAAACTAACATCTCCCAAACTGTGGCCCCCAAGTCAACCTGTACTCTGTAAAGTGACTGCAAACTTTGTTTCATTAAGACAATACTAACACAATCCAAGGATGAAATCTTCACAGGGGTTTCAAATAGTTTCAAGTGCTCTAGGGATACAAGAGTTAATCTGGAGGGCCGTTTTTCCCTCACAAGCTTCTCCTTTTTTCTTACAAGATCTGCTAATAATGATCCGTTCCGTACGGTACTGTGGTACAACGTTCCTTATAGACTCCAGTGTTTGAACACTTGGTCCCCAGCTGATGACGCTGCTTGGGGAAGTTACCCAGCCAACTTTGCTAGAAGAAGCTCGTTACATGGGGTGGATGCCGGGAGTTTATACCCTCACCCTGCTTCTGCTTGATCTTCCTGCTTCCGGTGTGTGCATGAAATGTGGTCAGCCAGATTCCTGCCGTCACACCCTGCTACCCTGATATTATGAACTTTCTCTCTGGAACCATAAGCAAAATAAACCCTATACATTGCTTTCGGCCATAGTAACTTTATCATTGCAATAGGAAAATAACTGATATGCATGCTGGTGGATCCTCATCGAGGCTGTTCTTTACCATGCAGGGAGGTCTTGACACTATGCCATGGGTAACTATGGTTATATGAGTTTTTTAAGAAAACAAGAAAAACGATTGTCTTATGTAAGTGTTTTGGACATAGAACTTTTCATGAAACTTGAGTTTTGAGTTATGTAATTATTCCTCTGACTACAGGTTTTAAAAAGGGTACCCTGATAGCTGTGTGGCTGTGGTTTCACACTGCGCCCTTGCTGCAGAGGTGGATAGCTATGTACAGGCTCTGTTCTTCCCACCTTCCCATTTAAAAATAAACCTCTAAAGAACTTGAATGCAAAAGCATTAGCTTAACATTTCATTAATAATTTCAATGCAAAAAAGCAAAAGAAATATGAAATCACCCACACAGAATGTGTTATGTTCCTTAGTTCCCGTTATATTTGTAAAATAGTTCTTAATTTAGAAAGTAGAAATTTAAATCATCAAAGTGTTATTCACTGAAAAAAAGAAGATGAGCTAACTTTTGACTGGAAATTTCTGGAATGTGCGCATTTTAAAGGAAAATAAGCCTAGAAAATATTTCTCATTAGTATGCATTTCTATGCTTGATGTAATCTAAATATATATGTTGTAGTTTTGCAACTAATATTACAAGGAATTTATTCTTTTAAATTCACTAATTTATGGGTGGTATTATTATATATTTTTTGAATATTTTTGAGACAATATACTACGTAAAAATTAAATAGAATCTAAGCATAAATAGTATAAAAATGAATTAGAATCGTTTCTCAAAACATATCAAGAGGTATTAAAAAGTAAGAATAAATATCTCTACAGACTTCATCTATTAGTGAATACATAGCACCAGCCTAGTGAGTACCTTTAACTTTCTTAGCCTCACTTTCCCACTCATTTTATTAATGAAATATAAGAAAAATGCAGAAATAAAACACATTCAAAGACACCATTCTATATACTGTAGTACTCAGCATTTAATGCCACATGAATGTTGCCTTTAAGAAATATCCTTTAAGCTCACAGCTCCCTATGAGCATCAAAAGGAAAGACACTGAAAGTGTAGGATGACTCATCAGAGAAGCTTTGGATACTAACTCGAAGTCTCCTTCCAACACACATGCACACACCACACATACACACACACACACACACACACACATCTTCACATATACACATACAGATACACATTCACACACATATACACAGATATACATATCACACACACAAAAACACACACATACACACATACATACACAGACACACACTCATACATTTACACACCCATTCACATACACTGTCACACACACCACACATACACACATATGCACACATATACACACAGACACACACTCATACACATTTATACACATAAACACATTATATACACACAAACACACTTACATCATACATACACATTACACACACAAAACACATTTATACAACACACACAAGCACACACATACACCACACATACATACATACACACAGATACATACGAAGTGGTTAACATGAAGAGAATAAGAAACTATGGAGTATTCAGCCCTAAATGGAATGTAAACATCATATCCTTCTCCACAGCTCAGATTCTTCAAGGAAGAGGGGAGGAAAGATTGTAAGATCCAGAGTTGGTTAAAAACATCAGGGAACGGGCTGGAGAGATGGCTCAGTGGTTAAGAGCACTGACTGTTCTTCCAGAGGTCATGAGTTCAAATCCCAGCAACTACATGGTGGCTCACAACCATCCACAATGAGATCTGATGCCCTCTTACAGGGTGTTTGAAGACAGCTACAGTGTACGTACATGTAACAAATAAATAAATAACCTTTAGGAAAAAAAAGACATCGGGGAAACAGTGTTTTCCAGACACAACAGAGCAGTTGCATGTATGAATTCAGGGACTGTGTTAGCATATAAAAGATCATTGTAAGCTGCAGCCAACCAAAATCTGAATACAGCAGGTGGAAGAAGGCGTGGAATCTCATCATTAGCGGAAGAGAAATTGGCATTTGATAATGGCTGCGAGAGACAGAGTCAGATTTCCTTAATGATGTGATCCTGATGGGTTGACCCCAGGCCAGGCCCCAATATACAGACTATCTGGGTCAAAACAAAAGAAGCAACTGTACTTTGTATGGTAAACAAGCCTCACAGTTGGGTAGGAAGGGATGTGAGGATGTAGGGGGTGATTGTGAGAGGAGACTGGGTCATGACTATGCTGTGAAAACATTGTATGAGATTCTCAAAGAATTAGTAACAACGTTGCTAAAAAAGAAGGAAAGAAGATGTGGGTTGAGTTATTTAAATACACCTCAGCCTTGTCGTAGAAATGAAGGAAGCTAAGTTAGGATAAAAAACATGCATGAGTGGGTTATAAAGTCAGATGAGAGGAAGGATGCTCAGTGGATTCTCGGTGATGATGGGACAGAAATAAAATGGTCTCTGTAACTCCTGTATTCAATATAAACCTCACGGGTAGAAGCACATTTGCTTGCAATTAGCTCAAGTTTAGGGTCTTTAAGAGAGAAGCAGGCCAGGATTGATGGTGCACACCTTTAGTCTCAGCACTTGGAAGGCTGAAGCACGCAGATCTCTGTGAGTTCAAAACCAGCCTGGTATACATGATGAGTTTGGAGACAGCCAAGGCTATATAATGAGACCTTGTCTCAAAAACATAACATAATAAAGGGTCAGGACAGGGAAGTAATGGCATAGAAAGCTGGAGCCTACTTAGGGAGACTAGATCTGGTTTTATTGGATGGGTTTGATCTGTAATGCTCTTCTAATCTTTGTAAACCATGTTTTCCAGAATTTGAAATTGATGACAGTCCCCTACTGAACCTGGTACAATGATGTCCATTGATACTGGATAAACAGGGAAGTAAAGAACAATTGTAATCCAAAAAAAAGGGGGGAGGGGATTCTATTTCATAAAAGTTCAGTCTTGCCCCCAAAGAGGAGAGAAATTCCATTTCAACACAATTATACCTATTAGTCTACATCCTGTGGTTATAGCAAACTCCCTGGGACTGGGTAATGAAGAAATAACATTTATTTGGGCCCATGATTTTACAGGGGCTGATATCTGGTAAGGGGAATGTGTGGCTTTATCCACAGTGAAAAGCAGAAGGGAAAACAAATTCATAGAGAGCACTGCTGGGGAGATGAGAGGGACACAGCCTGATTTATATGAGTTGTGCTTGAAAAATTAATATAGCCTCTCAGAAACTATATTGATCTTGCTCCAAAGTGGTGACTCTACCCAACGTCTCTTAAAGGTTCAGAGATTCTAAATATCAATGTGAGGATTGGAGAAGGAAACCCATGTCTCATATGCGTGTCATGTTTGCATCTTGTGCTGGGCAACATTTTAATGATGGTTAAACAATGCTAAAGAGGATTTGAGCATAGATGAGTCTTTCATGTGTAACTGGTGTAAGACGACAACCATCTAGAAACATGACATGGCTCGGTGTTAATCAACGTCACAATGCTCACTGCCACATCTCTATGAGGTCCCCCTCAACTGGGACACTGTCTTTATAGGAATCAACTTGAGAAGCAAAGGCTTGTTTACATAGAGGATCCTCAAAACCCTGCTTGCAGAAAGGAGCAAAGTGGAAAGCCAGTCTCTATCAAACACTGTAAGGCTCTCTGCAGAAAGTACAGCCCCCACTCCAAATATTGGAAGACCTACATGAAGACCAAGCTACATACCTGCT